ATATGTCTGATGAAGAGTCTGCCAGAGGTCTTGAGGCAGGCATCTGTATCTTGGTGGGAACAGAGTGGGTTAACACAACCAACAGGACACATTTCTAAAACATATAAGAAGTATTAGTTCAGTTCATTTCATTTGGTTTTCATGTGAACGGTCACAGTTTCTTACATAAAATAAAGTAAATTACCCAACCTGAACATTATTTTTTAAGCTGAAGCCAAACAAATTGTAATATTTGTAACAAATTGTAACAGTTGCATACATTGAAGATCCCACAGTAGATGGCCACTGACCAATTTATGCTGGACAATAGGGTTAACCAGGGTAAGAGGATACGCTTTATAATCAAGTGCTTGTCCTTTTCATTGTTTTCTTTTTTTTTGAAAATCATTTTGATATAAACACAAGGATTATATACATTTGAAAGGGAATTAAACAGACTCAACAGACTATGTTTTAAAAGACCAATGAGCCAAGTAGTGAGATCTAGCTTCCACCAACTGCGCCTTATCTCTAAGGCTAGGCATTATGTTCCGCATGAGGACCTGGAGAAGCTTATTCACGCTTTTGTGACCTCCAGGTTGGATTATTGTAACTCCTTGTACTACGGTCTTCCCTCTTCTCTTCTTCTTAGACTGCAAACAGTCCAAAATGCAGCAGCCCGCCACTTGACTGGTACGAGGAAATTTTGCCCTATTACTCCTGTTTTAGCTAGCTTGCATTGGCTGCCCATAAAGTACCGTATTCAATTTAAAATATTACTCCTTACATTCAAAACTATTAGTAAATTAGCGCCGAGTTATCTTAGTGAACTTCTCAAACCACATACTCCTGCTAGAACACTTAGATCTGCCACTCAACTACTTCTGATGCAACCTAGATCTCGGCTGAAGTCCCCATGGTGACTGTGCGTTTGCTCTGGCTCGACATCCACGCATCTGATTTATTGTTATGATAATAATAAACGTTTCTTTGCGTTAATAATACAATAGGAAATCAAACATCACTTTGCACTGTCTATTCCCACAGTATCATCAAAGATGCACATAATAATTATTAGTGGATGAGGGTTCAGCTACACATGAAGAATTTCAGACATTGAATCAAAGATGTCGGCCCAATATTTTTTAACCTCGGGACAAAAAACAAGACTGTGGCTTATGTATCTTCAGCTACGGAGCATTTCTCACATATAGGAGAGACCTCAGGGTATATTTTATTTAACCTTTCTCTAGTAAAGTGTAGATGAAGCTTTAAACTGAATCAAGAAGTGTTTTGCATTATAGGAGCATTTATGGATATTCTGCAAACCTTTTTCCCATTGAGTGTCTGTGATTATGATACCTAATTCTTCTTCCCATTTAGATTTGATAAAGGATGAGCTTGCATTAAATTCTGAAAGGTGCAAGAGATAAATTTCTCACTACAAGGTGAAAGTTGGAGACACTTATCAAGACCGGAAATGTTGAGACTCTCAAAGACCTGTATATTTCCTGACAGAGTCTGGCAGGTATCTAAAAAAGTCTCTTCCTGATAGCTTGTATATCTCTTGTAACTGATTGAAAGAGGCAAAGACACTGTCCCAATATAGATGACTGACTGAGCAAAGTCCTACCTGTTTTAATGCATTGTCTAGAATAGATGGTTTAAAAGATGGATTGCCTACAATGGGTGTAATAGGGGATAGAGACTTCAAATTAAAACATAGTTTAATCTGCTTAAAAATACATAGGGTGCTATGTATTACCACATTGCCATCATACATAGACTTATCAATGGGCAGTATAGCTATATAGTAAAGCTGACAAGCTTCCTGCTCCAGTTGCGACCATGTGAGGGGATTGCCGTTGTCTGCTAACCAGTATGTCATAAATTTTATATGCAAAGCCCAGTAATAGAACAAGAAATTCAGAAGCGCTAACCCTCCCTCCGTTTTAGACTTGCAAAGCTGTTTCCTAGCAATTCTATGTGTTGTATTGCCCCATAAAAAAGGTAAGAGGAGTGAATTCAGGTTTTTAAAAAATGTTTTAGGAAGGAATACAGAGAGATGTTGAAATAAGTACAACCACAATCAAAATTATAATTTTTATAGGATTAACTCTACCAATGAGTGATATAGGAAGTGAATTGTACACTTGACTGAAGCTCAGATATTAAGGGAGAGAAGTTAGATTTTAATAGAGAGGAATAGCATTTTGTAACCTGAATACCCAGATAAGTGAGCTTCTCATAAGCTATACTGAATGGGAGGTTTTGCAGCCATGATGGGTTACTCACATGTATTAGTTCACTTTTATTCAGATTTATCCTGTATCCAGAGAAAGACCCAAATAACTTAATTTTGTCTAATATGGCAGGAATAGTCTTTCCTGGCTGGGTGATATATAATAACACATCATTCGCATAGAGTGAGATTTTATTAGTAGTTGTATCAGTATTTTTTTTAAAAATAGATCCCTGTTTTGTCGCTCTATATAAGCCAAAGGATAGTGATAGATTCTGGTTGGTAAGAATGCGAGCATGAGGATTGCCATAAAGAAAACTTACCACTGAAATAAATTTCTTGCCCAATTTAAATCTTTCCAATATTTCGAACAAATAGGGCCATTCAATCTGGTCAAATGCCTTCTCAGCGTCGAGTGCCAAAACTGCCAACTCTTCTTTAGGTCTGGCAGTGGAGTAAATAATGTTGAATAGTCACCTGAGATTAAAAAAAAGAATTTCTCTGGGGTATAAATCCAGTTTTATCAGGGTGTACTAACTGTGTTAAAAGGGGCTTAATCTACTGGAAAATACTTTAGACAATAGTTTCCCATCCAGATTTAGCAAGGTGATGGGACGATAAGAACCTACATTCTCAGCATTCCTACCTTCTTTTTTATTTTATTTTATTTTTTATAAATAACAGTTATAATTGCCTCTGTAAGGGTGGGAGGGAGGACTTCATTTGCTAGAGCTTGAGTGAATGTTTTATGCAGGTATGGGCACAAAATCTCACTAAATTTCTTATAAAATTTGCTGGGGATGCCATCTGGTCCAAGAGCCTTATTGGTTTTACTAATTGCCTTCTTGATCCCCTCTACTGTTATTTCTGAGTTTAAGCATGTGAGTTAATCCTCCCCTAGGTTTGGAAAAGTGCAGCTATCCAAGAACTTTTTCGTAGAGTCACAATTTATATTTTGTTTAGCATATAAACTTTGATAAAATTGGAAATAGTGATTGTTAATGTCTCCGGGGTCCATTAAAGCCTCAACTGCATTATTTTTAATTTTATGAATTGTACTGTCTTGTTCTTGTTTCCTAAGTTTTTCTTGCTAGTATTTTATGCGATTTGTCACCAAGCTCAGAGTATTTCTGCTTGGTGCACAAAAAGGCTTTACTGATTTTTGCTGAGAGTAGATTATTATATTCACATTTTAAAGACAGTATTTTCTTAGGTAGCATTGTGGATGGCGTTTGGGCATTCTCTTTATCCAGATCTTTAATTTGTTTGTCCAAGTCAAGGAGCTTAGCCCGGTTTCTCTTCCTTCTGGCTGATTTAAAAGAGATAATAGTACACCTTAAATACTCCCAAAGTGTAGCAGGCTTAGTTTCTGAGTTTTCATTTACCACAAAACACAGCGAGATCAGTGTTTCCAAATATTCATGAAAATCCTTCGCACCTAACAGTAGAGGGTTGCTGCAGTCTAGTTGCATTTGGATGTTTAAGGTTAATGTGACAGGGGAGTGACCAGAGATGACAATATTGTGATATTTTGTGTCAATGACATGTGGCATTAATTCAAATCAAAAGTTGCCATTAAATATGTATAATCAAAATATTACAGTACACACAGGTTATTTAATTTATAAATTATTTCCAATTTTTCAAAAAATTTATTTCAGCAAAACAATAACTGTCATTGTATTGTAGAGCTTATGAAAAACATTGTTAGAGGCACAATTTCTTCGTTTGATTTCCGAACACCAGTAAAATGATTCTGATGCTATTTAAACATGATAAAAATGATTCAACTTTGAGCCAATGACACAATGAAAACCGACTTTGATGATAAACTCCGGAAAGGGCATGATGATGCGCTAAGTAGAGAAATGAGTACTGTGAAATGTGAGATCTTATGACCACTATAGTGAGCTGTGAGTTCAAAGTATGGCTGAATAAAAAAACAAATATAACTTAATGAATTGAATCATCTAGATTTTTAAACGTGTCTCTTTGCTTTTGAATGCTGTTGTTTCAAATGTTGAAACAAAAATGAGCAACACCGCCCTCTGCCGCCTGTAACTGTGCTTTACAACAAAGGCGGGAACAACCAAAAAAAATCCCTCGTGATGTTTTATCTATGTGACCGTGGAGCAGGTAGCTGTTGTTCTCATAGTCTGTTGCAGTAGTGTGATAGGTAGGTTTAAACTGCGTATTATCTACGAAGTATTTCGTCTCAAAATGTGGTGTAAAACGTGTTACCGTCGTCGCTTCTGCGAATGACAACAGTGGGAGGGGCTTATGCAGAGCTCAATAGTGTCCTGTGCCGCTATCTCAGCGCAGCAGAGTGGCGCAGCGGAAGCGTGCTGGGCCCATAACCCAGAGGTCGATGGATCGAAACCATCCTCTGCTATTTAGCTTTTTTCTTTTCTTTTTTTGAAATTAACTAATCTTACAAGATATGTAACATAATGTTACATTAAATCGTGTAATTACATTCATTTGGAATAGATGTTTATTTTAGTATTAACATCTAATCAAACCACAGTAACTTTATGCCTATATACAGTTTATATCTACAACACTATCTTTGTTCTGAAATTCTCACTCTCTTTGTTATGTAATTACTTTCTAAAATGTTTAGAGACAAACAAAATTACTGTCTGCGTTTAAAAAAAAGAGCAGAAAACTATATGGTGCCTCATTAATATCAGTTTACAAAGTCAAACCAATTAATGAAAACAGCAATTAAAGTTGCGTTTTTTCACTTTAGTAAAAAGTAAAAATTAAAAAGTAAAAGTAAAATCCCACACTTCTGCAGTGTTGTTTTTATTGTATAATTTTTATATTTAAAGCATGTACACATTAAGAATACCATCTGGCATTTATATAAAAGAGAGATGAATACTCTAAATATGTTTCGTTTGCAGTAGTAATTTTTTTAAAATCAGATATTATAATACAGGTAAAAGAAAAATAATAAACTGTTAAAAAACCCCACACGGGGTAGAATGTAATTTATCATTGTTTAAGAAAGTTATGTGTTAATTCCTTTCATGAAAAGTTGAGATAAACATGACATGGGGAAAGAAAATCCCCCAAAGTGAGATTTGCAAGGAACTGTGAACTTTCTATAACTGACAAATGATGTAAGCGTTCAGGAAGCATTCTGGTGTAACTTGCCAGATGCCGTTTTCTGACAGCATGGTGCAGCCTGTATCTTGGATGGATTTGTCTGGCTGACCTTCTCCCCACTTGGTAAATGTCAGATGTTGGTTTTTCATATCCACCTCAAAATTTCCCTCTGCCTTTTTGTTGTTGACACTGATCCAAGCTGCCTTGTAAACATCGCCAAACACTTGAGTCAGTGCGTTGTTCTCCTCCTCGTTCTGGGGCAGAGCCAACTCTATGTGTTGTTGGGAGCAGAATTCGACAGCCCTGGAGAAAGAGCCTCTCTCCTTGTTGGACACAAAGTATTTCTGACCAACTCTCCGGACAAAATGATAGTTAATGGCTAGAGAACAGAAAAATGTAATAAAGCAAACTGTTACTCTTAGGCTTTTTATTTAAAATCAATCTAATGTTGTAGAGACATGGAAAACTGTCACACAGAAATATGATGATGAATATGATGACTTATCAATCATGTCTGAAAATTAGACTTAAAGTTGCATTTTTTAGATGTCCTGTGTATTAACTATGTAAAGCACTTTGTGCTACATTTTCTCTGTATGAAAAGTGCTTTATAAATAAAGATTGATTGATTGATTGATTTGACAAAAACAGTTCTTTGTAACTGAGTTGTGTTTGAATTTGAATTAAAAACACATGATTGTGACACTTACCGAGCTCTAGCTTGGCAAGTCTGTCCTTCAAAGCTCTGAGGTCTGGGCAGCTCGTCTCAGTAGCAGCTGGATCAAACAGATCAAGTTAGTGAACTTTACACAGAGGCCACACTTACAGCTCTGCTGTATCTACAAATGGCCATTTAAAGTTTCTTCGTTTTATGCCTCACTTTTAACCACTGATAGATTTTCTTTTCCAAACTTTTATTTATTTATGACATGGAAGGAATTGTTGTTGTTTTTCTGATTTCTGAAATGATTAGATAATCACTCTGTTAAGCTTATGGGCTCTTTAAACTGTTTCAGGATGTTTTGTTCAGTCATGAGAGAAATATGGAAAAAACAAGTGGTTACCATTTGTAAACTGTTTTTCTAGCTCATCCATCATCGTTGACATGCTGCTAACCAGCATGTAAATTTAGACAGTGATCAAATTACCCCCATGTGAATTATGTTGTGGGCACTTATGATCAACAAATCAGAAGATAACATGAGAAAATACAAAATGCGTGCAGGCATAAATTGTTTTATATACTCCAGCTTTGAGTAAATGTAACCAACCAAAACAACTGAGGCCTTGTGAGAAATTTGTGTGACTACAAATGTTACAGAGAGAACGACAGTCTACAGTCAAGCTTCCCTTTAGACTTTACAGACTATAAATACAGTAGACTTATTTCTAATCCTGCGCCTGCCTAATTGTGTCACCATATGCATAGATTTCAAGGCACATCAGGGGACACATAGCCTTTATCTTTAGAAAACATGCCAGATAACTGAGGTGTACATGATCTAAAGCAATCATTGCAAAAAAAAGGTGTTTAAGTGTAAACTTTACAGCATGTTCCACGAGCGCCAGGATATCCAGGTATCCCAGGAAATCCTCGGTCCCCTGCAGAATAGATAAACAGGTAGTGAGCCAGCTAAAGGTGCTTGTGGCTTCAAAATCAAATATATTTGTCTGTCCAAATAAAAAATAAATGACCTAAATTTAGTTCGAAATTACATCCTTTAAAATACTGCTGGAATGAAGTAATAACATCGGTTATTTTGACCTTTAATCCCCGATAATCCAGGAACACCATCTCGTCCAGGTGGTCCTATCATCCCAGGAAACCCAGGATATCCGGGATCTCCTTTTTCACCTTTTTGACCTGGAGGACCAGGAGGCTGACTGAAGCTGACAGTGGCCATAAAGCAGATGACGGAGAATAAAAGAAGCAGTCTCATCTTCGTAGTTCAGAACTGAAATTTTGGTTAAATATAGTATTAAGTTTTCCATATAAAAGCCATGTAGCCCTAACCCTCAAATGGAAGAATGATAAATTTTCCAATTATAGACATTCTTTATGCAGAAATTGCTAAATTTAATTAATTTTTTCTAGCTAGTGTGTTGTACTTCTTTATCTTTGTTGTTTTAAAGTGTTTTCAAGAGTTAAAACCATTTGGTAGCACAAAATTTAGTACAATACAGAGATAAACAGGAGAGAACTCACCCCACCAACGAGAAGTGATGTGCTGGGCATACTGCTTCTTTGCTGCTTCCACAGAAAAAGAACTGAGATATTTGCTAGAAGTAATGTGGGAGGGATTCAGTCCACAGTAAGCAGCTGGAACATCTCATTAGGGATTGTCCATTAACCTACCTCCTTTCAAACCAAAAAAAGGCCACTGTGTTGTGATACCTTAAAGACTCTATGAATCTAAACATGAGAATACGGATTTGACGTAGTTATGGGTGAATGCAGAAATGATAACGTTTGACTTTATGAGGCACAAACAGTTTCTGCCACTTAACATAAAAGGCAACTCCCTGTACAAAACTCAATTTCAAAAAGAATTGTGCACATTTTGACCACACAATCATCACTATAAGATTAAAACATGAGTGCATTATTGTTTTAAAGCTCTCTTAAAATTGACAGACTTAAAAAGACGAAGTTCAACATTTAAGATTAATAAATCAGTTGACGCTGAATTGTTTGAAACACATATTTAAAGGAAATTTAACAGTAGTTTAATGTTTAAAATAGTACACTGAGATGTTGCAGAGGTTGTGTGCAATGTAAATATTTCATTACGTTCACTTCTTAGTGAAAAACTACATCCATCCATCCATTCGCTTCCGCTTATCCTTTTCAGGGTCGCGGGGGGCGCTGGAGCCCATCCCAGCTGTCATAGGGCGAGAGGCAGGGTACACCCTGGACAGGTCGCCAGTCTGTTGCAGGGCTGAAAAACTACAAACACTGTGAATCAGACTTTTGCAGAATCACCTTTAGCAGCAATAATTTGAACAAAGCATCCTCTGTATGATTTCATCAGGCTCTCTCATAATTGTAGAGGAATTTTGGTACATTTGATTAGCAGCATATGGCTGCTACTTGTCCTCTCAACTCCTATGGAAGCATTAGGGATGTGCTTAAAATCTACAGTTCTCCCCATTAACTGCTCCTTCCATAATTCTTCCTCTGCCCCACTGCAATCCGGAAATATTAAATATTTAGGTATTAATATCTCTCCTAAGCTTTCAGACTTAACTAAACTAAACCACATCCCACTTCTAAAGAAAGTAGAAGGCGATCTGACTAGATGGAAATCTTTACCCATATCACTCATGGGAAGGGTCGCCACTATAAAAATGATGATCTTGCCAAAAATAAATTACTTATTTTTGATGATCCCTAACAAACCATCACAAGATTGGTTCAGATCTCTGGATTCATATATTTCCAAATTCCTTTGGAAAGATAAACCCCCGCGTATCAGCTTAAAAACGCTAAAAAGAACCAAGGATAGAGGAGGATTAGATCTGCCTAATTTTCACCAATACTTCTTAGCCAACAGGCTTCAGTTCATCTCAGAATGGTTAAAACATACCTTCTTAGTTGAGCCCTGGCTAGATGTTGAACAGGCACTATGCAAGGATCTAGAGATTTCAGACCTACCATTTATCAGCTCAAACATCAAAAGACATGAATGCTTTAAAAGTATCAACATCAGCTTTTCTCTAACAGCATGGTGGGAGTTTCTAAAAATAACGGAGTCTTCATTAATCCCATGCAAACGTACACCTATCTGGAATAACCCTGACATATTACAAAACAATAATATGATTAATTTCCCAGAATGGAGTTGTAAAGGAATTAAATACTTAGAACATATATTAGAGGGAACAGAATTTATTCCATTTGACAGACTAGTTGAACAATATGGGATCAACAAGACAAGGTTTTTAGAATATCAACAAATTAAATCAACAAATTAAATCCATAGTAAAAAAGAAATTTAACCTCAGTCAAGTTGAATTACAAACACCACTAAGTGCGGCACATTTTCTTACTCTTAAATCCCCCAAATTATTATCTAAAATATACAGAACACTTTCTAAATTAGATGAATCAATATCCCTTCCTACTGCAAAGTGGGAAGCAGATTTATCAGTCAACCTAGACCAAAACTTCTGGTCTCAGATTTGCTTAAAAACTTTTAAATTAATTAAAAATCCCAGTCTGCAATTAATACAATACAAAATACTTCATAGAGTGCACTATACAGGTCATCGGATGTTCAAGATGGGCTTTACATCTTCCAACAACTGCTCACACTGTCAAGGCAATACACCAGACAATTACATCCACGCTCTTTGGTTCTGTCCACCAGTGCAAAAGTTTTGGCGCGAGATATGTGAAGACTTATCAAAATGTCTGAAATGTAACATTCCAACTTCCCCCTTAGTGTGTTTGTTGGGCAGCTTAGATAATGTCACTTCAGAAAAGAATATAGCCCATATGATCTTCACTGCCCTATGCATAGCCAAGAAAACAGTCCTCATGAACTGGAAAAATAAAAATAATCTTAATTCTAACCAATATAGAAATTATCTATTAGATTACATTAGTCTTGACACAGCCTCTGCCACCACATTAGATCAATTGCTCTGGGCCCCTTTTATCAGCTCCATCACCTAGTGGGGGTGGGGGTCATAGTTTGGTCCCGCCTTCACTGTTGTGATTGGTGAGGGGTAGGGACAGGCTTAGGGCGTCGGGGGGTTCCCCGGAGGCATCTTCCTTGGGGGCTCAACCCGGGGTAGCGGTCACGTCCGGTTGAGGGCTCTGTTGGCTCTCAGGTGACTGTTTCCTCGCGGCTGCGTGCAGCGGGGCTAGGGGAGGGTCTGTGCTGACGGACGTGGGTTACTGACCTGGCAACCTGGCTGCCCCTGGGTGGGTCCGGGATGGGCGTGAGGTTTGGGGGCGCTCCGTCTCTGGGCTGGGGCCCGGGCCGGGCCTCGGGGCTCGGGTCCTGGTTGGTGTGTTGCCGGGGTTGTGGGCGGGTGGGTGCATGGGGGCCCGGCCCTGGAGCAGGGTGCCGCCGGTGCATCGAGCCGCCTGGGGGGCTCTTCAACTGGTGGGGGGGATGGTCACATCTTGCAGGAGCTTTCTTCTCTCAGGAACTCTCTGCAGGAGGGGGAGATACAGGAGAGGTGGAGGAAGATCTCAGCCTGGGCGTTTACCGTCTTATGTAGTCTGGAAGATGTGTGGTTGGTGGGGTGGGTGCAGTTTTCTCTGTGGTGGGGTTGGGTGGACTGTCCAGGGCTCTGTGGAGCCGGGGGGCGCTACTGCACTGGGCCCCGGTCTGATGGGCCTGGGCCCCCCTTCCCTGGCGGGTCGCGGAGGGTGGGAGTGCCTACTGGGGTCAGCGGGGGAGCTGGCCCCAGGGAGGGGTTACCTGCCCCTCCCTTCCTTCCCTCCCCATCTCCAGCTGCCTCCCTCTTCCCGCTCCTCCACAACCACCCACACATGCAGGGCCTTGGAGTGGGGGTATGTCACCAGGGTGCAGAGGAGGCTACCCCCCCCGTCCCCTTCTGGCTGCCTCTGCCTCAATTTTATCCCACAACTTAGACATTCACATTATTCACACTCTCATTACACATACATATAGGATCTTGGGGGTGGGCACAATCACGGAGTCCAAATTACCATCAGGGTGTATACCTCACCCCTGACGTCGTTGCCCACCTCTCAATTTTAAATACACTTAGTCATTGAGGGTTAGCAGGAGGGACTATGCGCTTACCTGCTGCTCCTTGGCAGGTAGCTCCATGCCCTCCTGGGTTTTAATTGCACCTTAGAACACATATGCATCAACACTACAATGAGTGGGTGGAGGGAGGTTTGGAGTCTTCTCCCACCCCCATTCTCTGCGGCCTGCTGGAGCGGGAGGGCTAGTAGGAGGAGTTGGCCGTCCGACTGCGGTCTGGGGTGTGGGGCCTCCCTGCTGCTGCGGAGTCGGGGTGGTCTGCCTCTCCCCACCGCAGGGAAAAGGGTAACACCACCTGGGTCTGGGTGCAATTCCCCCCTCCAGGGCAAGGGTACCTAGACCCGGTTTGTAGAGTACGCTTGGGGAGTGTGATTGTGTGTACAGCGTCTCTTTATGTCTGTCTCCACGTTGGTTGAGTGTGGAGTGAGTGCATATGAGAGCATGAGGGTGGGAATGGATGTTTGTGTCTGTGTGTGCCTGTATGTCTGTGTCTATATGTCAGGTTGGGTATCAGACGCCACCTCTCTGGGGACACCTCAGGCCCTCCAAGGTTTGGAGGCCTATCTCCACCCACCACCACTTCCCCTGCCGGTGGCGGACTCCCTCAGGTGTCGGTGTGTTGGTGGTTCTTTGTGTCTGGGGGTGGGCGTCCGGGTACACACCGGCTCACTCCTTGGGGGCCGCTTGTCGGGGCCTGGGGCCTGGGGCTCGCTCGGGCCCCTTTGGAGGTGGGGTGCCCCCGGCCTCTCGGCCTAGGGCTCGGTCACTCAGGCGCAGCTGGGGCCGGCGGAGCTCACGGGCGCGTCACTGCAACTCCCCCTGACTTCTGCTCCGCAGCTGCTGGGCGAGCCCTCATCTGGGACTCTCCTCAGCTCTTACTGGGACAGTGGCGCGGCTGCCCCTCTGTTGGTCTTCCATGGTCTCTTGTGTTCTGGGGGCCTCTGGATGTCTGGAGTTTTGATCTCCTCCATACCCGCTTCACACCCTGGAGGACGGGGCTGTGGCCCCCCCACACTCCCTAGCAGATCATTACATGGAGAAACCTTTGGAATGCAAGCATGCTGATCCACACAGGTATGCACACATGGGTATTCACAGACGCGGACTAAAGCTTTCTTGGCTGCTGCCTCAAAGCACACTGTGCGCTGTCTATCTTGCGTGCTGCACAATATCGTTTATTACTTAGTAAATACTGATATCTATGACTAGCTAGTTTATTGTGATGGTGCTTTGTTTTCTCTATTATTATGTTGCTCTTTGTTGTTTGCTGTCTCCTCTGTTTGTTTTTGTTTGTTTGTTTGTTTGTTTTTTTTCTCCATACAGGTGACCCAGGAGTTTTTTTTTTCTCTCTCTTCCCCCCCCCTTCTCACCGTCTCTTCTCCCCTTTGGTTTTCTTTCTTTCTCTCCCCCTCTCTCTCTCATTCATTCCCCCTGTCCTATTTATTAAAAAAAAAAAAAAAAAAAAAAAAAAAAAAACAAATGACAAAGGATGAACTGAAGCTCTGCCATCACGTAATGTCGCATACTGCTGTTTCTGATGTCATTTAGAAAAAAAAAAAAAAAAAAAAAAAAGGGATGTGCTTAAAAGACTCTAGGGAAGAAGTCAAAATACAAATAAGCATTGCTATGTTGGGTGGACCTCCTTTTTGCTCATTCCACAGAAAAATCGCTGAGATATTAGACAGACCTCCATATAAACAACAGCTGCATACTCTCATATGGGAACTGGGAGTTGGATTAGTGTGTGTGTGTGTGTGTGTGGGGGGGGATTTTTAACAACAAATATAACAGCACATACCTTTATTTATATAAAGATTTCACAACCTCTTTTTTGATCTCTGATATTATGAAGTTATGATGACACCTCAATTTTATTCCTAAGTATGTTAATATTTCTTTCCAGTTTTTCAGCCACAAGTACAGTATTGCGTTCGCAAAAAGCAAACACCAATCAGCTGAAAAGGCTTTTATGTAGAAATGCACAATATGTGATGTTTTTATAGGAAAACACTACATAAGTGTTCAAAGCACCCTTTGGAAAAAATTAAACAATATCTTCAAATGGCATTGTCTGGGACTGCATTATAACCATGTGAATAATACTTTAATACCTACTTTCACTAGTTCATGATTAGAATGCCACACTTACAAAATTTGTTTCTATTGCAGTTCAATGTTTAATTCTTTATACATTTATTATTATATTTATAGAATTATGAAGATGGAGACAGAAAAAGGCTTTTGTCTAACATAAAGACACTGACATATAGCAGAAAGCACAATAGTGATGCAAAAGCATTTATTTGAAACCATGAAGAGTTAGCTTAAATGATTTATTGACAATACATCAGTCAAGCATCAGAATAACTGACTTAAACTTAGGTCTGTGAGATAATAGTTATTCCTATTACAATGCATTCATGAATTCATTGCCATTGGGAGTTTCACTTCAGTTGGTCAACTGAGAATCGTTGGTCTCATTTTTAATACTACAAAGTTTTCTTTCTTCTACAAAATGCAGCCCCGATGCTTTACCCATAATTCATAAACAACTGCAAGCTTAGATTTTTTCTTCCATTGGGGTAAATGAGAACATTTCTCTACATGTAATATAAGAAATAAAAATGCAATAAAAATGTTGAGATAAACATGATAGTGGGGGGAAATTGCCAAAAGCAAGATTCGCAAGGAACCGGGATTTTTCTATAACTGACAAATGATGTAAGCGTTCATGGAACATTCTGGTGTAACTTGCCAGATGCCGTTTTCTGACAGCATGGTGCAGCCTGTATCTTGGATGGATTTGTCTGGCTGACCTTCTCCCCACTTGGTAAATGTCAGACGTTGGTTTTTCATATCCACCTCAAAATTTCCCTCTGCCTTTTTGTTGTTGACACTGATCCAAGCTGCCTTGTAAACATCGCCAAACACTTGAGTCAGTGCGTTGTTCTCCTCCTCGTTCTGGGGCAGAGCCAACTCTATGTGTTGTTGGGAGCAGAATTCGACAGCCCTGGAGAAAGAGCCTCTCTCCTTGTTGGACACAAAGTATTTCTGACCAACTCTCCGGACAAAATGATAGTTAATGGCTAGAGAACAGAAAAATGTAATAAAGCAAACTGTTACTCTTAGGCTTTTTATTTAAAATCAATCTAATGTTGTAGAGACATGGAAAACTGTCACACAGAAATATGATGATGAATATGATGACTTATCAATCATGTCTGAAAATTAGACTTAAAGTTGCATTTTTTAGATGTCCTGTGTATTAACTATGTAAAGCACTTTGTGCTACATTTTCTCTGTATGAAAAGTGCTTTATAAATAAAGATTGATTGATTGATTGATTTGACAAAAACAGTTCTTTGTAACTGAGTTGTGTTTGAATTTGAATTAAAAACACATGATTGTGACACTTACCGAGCTCTAGCTTGGCAAGTCTGTCCTTCAAAGCTCTGAGGTCTGGGCAGCTCGTCTCAGTAGCAGCTGGATCAAACAGATCAAGTTAGTGAACTTTACACAGAGGCCACACTTACAGCTCTGCTGTATCTACAAATGGCCATTTAAAGTTTCTTCGTTTTATGCCTCACTTTTAACCACTGATAGATTTTCTTTTCCAAACTTTTATTTATTTATGACATGGAAGGAATTGTTGTTGTTTTTCTGATTTCTGAAATGATTAGATAATCACTCTGTTAAGCTTATGGGCTCTTTAAACTGTTTCAGGATGTTTTGTTCAGTCATGAGAGAAATATGGAAAAAACAAGTGGTTACCATTTGTAAACTGTTTTTCTAGCTCATCCATCATCGTTGACATGCTGCTAACCAGCATGTAAATTTAGACAGTGATCAAATTACCCCCATGTGAATTATGTTGTGGGCACTTATGATCAACAAATCAGAAGATAACATGAGAAAATACAAAATGCGTGCAGGCATAAATTGTTTTATATACTCCAGCTTTGAGTAAATGTAACCAACCAAAACAACTGAGGCCTTGTGAGAAATTTGTGTGACTACAAATGTTACAGAGAGAACGACAGTCTACAGTCAAGCTTCCCTTTAGACTTTACAGACTATAAATACAGTAGACTTATTTCTAATCCTGCGCCTGCCTAATTGTGTCACCATATGCATAGATTTCAAGGCACATCAGGGGACACATAGCCTTTATCTTTAGAAAACATGCCAGATAACTGAGGTGTACATGATCTAAAGCAATCATTGCAAAAAAAAGGTGTTTAAGTGTAAACTTTACAGCATGTTCCACGAACGCCAGGATATCCAGGTAACCCAGGAAATCCTCGGTCCCCTGCAGAATAGATAAACAGGTAGTGAGCCAGCTAAAGGTGCTTGTGGCTTCAAAATCAAATATATTTGTCTGTCCAAATAAAAAATAAATGACCTAAATTTAGTTCGAAATTACATCCTTTAAAATACTGCTGGAATGAAGTAATAACATCGGTTATTTTGACCTTGAATCCCCGGTAATCCAGGAACACCATCTCGTCCAGGTGGTCCTATCATCCCAGGAAACCCAGGATATCCGGGATCTCCTTTTTCACCTTTTTGACCTGGAGGACCAGGAGGCTGACTGAAGCTGACAGTGGCCATAAAGCAGATGACGGAGAATAAAAGAAGCAGTCTCATCTTCGTAGTTCAGAACTGAAATTTTGGTTAAATATAGTATTAAGTTTTCCATATAAAAGCCATGTAGCCCTAACCCTCAAATGGAAGAATGATAAATTTTCCAATTATAGACATTCTTTATGCAGAAATTGCTAAATTTAATTAATTTTTTCTAGCTAGTGTGTTGTACTTCTTTATCTTTGTTGTTTTAAAGTGTTTTCAAGAGTTAAAACCATTTGGTAGCACAAAATTTAGTACAATACAGAGATAAACAGGAGAGAACTCACCCCACCAACGAGAAGTGATGTGCTGGGCATACTGCTTCTTTGCTGCTTCCACAGAAAAAGAACTGAGATATTTGCTAGAAGTAATGTGGGAGGGATTCAGTCCACAGTAAGCAGCTGGAACATCTCATTAGGGATTGTCCATTAACCTCCCTCCTTTCAAACCAAAAAAAGGCCACTGTGTTGTGATACCTTAAAGACTCTATGAATCTAAACATGAGAATACGGATTTGACGTAGTTATGGGTGAATGCAGAAATGATAACGTTTGACTTTATGAGGCACAAACAGTTTCTGCCACTTAACATAAAAGGCAACTCCCTGTACAAAACTCAATTTCAAAAAGAATTGTGCACATTTTGACCACACAACCATCACTATAAGATTAAAACATGAGTGCATTATTGTTTTAAAGCTCTCTTAAAATTGACAGACTTAAAAAGACGAAGTTCAACATTTAAGATTAATAAATCAGTTGACGCTGAATTGTTTGAAACACATATTTAAAGGAAATTTAACAGTAGTTTAATGTTTAAAATAGTACACTGAGATGTTGCAGAGGTTGTGTGCAATGTAAATATTTCATTACGTTCACTTCTTAGTGAAAAACTACATCCATCCATCCATTCGCTTCCGCTTATCCTTTTCAGGGTCGCGGGGGGCGCTGGAGCCCATCCCAGCTGTCATAGGGCGAGAGGCAGGGTACACCCTGGACAGGTCGCCAGTCTGTTGCAGGGCTGAAAACTACAAACACTGTGAATCAGACTTTTGCAGAATCACCTTTAGCAGCAATAATTTGAACAAAGCATCCTCTGTATGATTTCATCAGGCTCTCTCATAATTGTAGAGGAATTTTGGTACATTTGATTAGCAGCATATGGCTGCTACTTGTCCTCTCAACTCCCATGGAAGCATTAGGGATGTGCTTAAAAGACTCTAGGGAAGAAGTCAAAATACAAATAAGCATTGCTATGTTGGGTGGACCTCCTTTTTGCTCATTCCACAGAAAAATCGCTGAGATATTAGACAGACCTCCATATAAACAACAGCTGCATACTCTCATATGGGAACTGGGAGTTGGATTAGTGTGTGTGTGTGTGTGTGTGGGGGGGGATTTTTAACAACAAATATAACAGCACATACCTTTATTTATATAAAGATTTCACAACCTCTTTTTTGATCTCTGATATTATGAAGTTATGATGACACCTCAATTTTATTCCTAAGTATGTTAATATTTCTTTCCAGTTTTTCAGCCACAAGTACAGTATTGCGTTCGCAAAAAGCAAACACCAATCAGCTGAAAAGGCTTTTATGTAGAAATGCACAATATGTGATGTTTTTATAGGAAAACACTACATAAGTGTTCAAAGCACCCTTTGGAAAAAATTAAACAATATCTTCAAATGGCATTGTCTGGGACTGCATTATAACCATGTGAATAATACTTTAATACCTACTTTCACTAGTTCATGATTAGAATGCCACACTTACAAAATTTGTTTCTATTGCAGTTCAATGTTTAATTCTTTATACATTTATTATTATATTTATAGAATTATGAAGATGGAGACAGAAAAAGGCTTTTGTCTAACATAAAGACACTGACATATAGCAGAAAGCACAATAGTGATGCAAAAGCATTTATTTGAAACCATGAAGAGTTAGCTTAAATGATTTATTGACAATACATCAGTCAAGCATCAGAATAACTGACTTAAACTTAGGTCTGTGAGATAATAGTTATTCCTATTACAATGCATTCATGAATTCATTGCCATTGGGAGTTTCACTTCAGTTGGTCAACTGAGAATCGTTGGTCTCATTTTTAATACTACAAAGTTTTCTTTCTTCTACAAAATGCAGCCCCGATGCTTTACCCATAATTCATAAACAACTGCAAGCTTAGATTTTTTCTTCCATTGGGGTAAATGAGAACATTTCTCTACATGTAATATAAGAAATAAAAATGCAATAAAAATGTTGAGATAAACATGATAGTGGGGGGAAATTGCCAAAAGCAAGATTCGCAAGGAACCGGGATTTTTCTATAACTGACAAATGATGTAAGCGTTCATGGAACATTCTGGTGTAACTTGCCAGATGCCGTTTTCTGACAGCATGGTGCAGCCTGTATCTTGGATGGATTTGTCTGGCTGACCTTCTCCCACTTGGTAAATGTCAGACGTTGGTTTTTCATATCCACCTCAAAATTTCCCTCTGCCTTTTTGTTGTTGACACTGATCCAAGCTGCCTTGTAAACATCGCCAAACACTTGAGTCAGTGCGTTGTTCTCCTCCTCGTTCTGGGGCAAAGCCAACTCTATGTGTTGTTGGGAGCAGAATTCGACAGCCCTGGAGAAAGAGCCTCTCTCCTTGTTGGACACAAAGTATTTCTGACCAACTCTCCGGACAAAATGATAGTTAATGGCTAGAGAACAGAAAAATGTAATAAAGCAAACTGTTACTCTTAGGCTTTTTATTTAAAATCAATCTAATGTTGTAGAGACATGGAAAACTGTCACACAGAAATATGATGATGAATATGATGACTTATCAATCATGTCTGAAAATTAGACTTAAAGTTGCATTTTTTAGATGTCCTGTGTATTTGACAAAAACAGTTCTTTGTAACTGAGTTGTGTTTGAATTTGAATTAAAAACACATGATTGTGACACTTACCGAGCTCTAGCTTGGCAAGTCTGTCCTTCAAAGCTCTGAGGTCTGGGCAGCTCGTCTCAGTAGCAGCTGGATCAAACAGATCAAGTTAGTGAACTTTACACAGAGGCCACACTTACAGCTCTGCTGTACCTACAAATGGCCATTTAAAGTTTCTTCGTTTTATGCCTCACTTTTAACCACTGACAGATTTTCTTTTCCAAACTTTTATTTATTTATGACATGGAAGGAATTGTTGTTGTTTTTCTGATTTCTGAAATGATTAGATAATCACTCTGTTAAGCTTACGGGCTCTTTAAACTGTTTCAGGATGTTTTGTTCAGTCATGAGAGAAATATGGAAAAAACAAGTGGTTACCATTTGTAAACTGTTTTTCTAGCTCATCCATCATCGTTGACATGCTGCTAACCAGCATGTAAATTTAGACAGTGATCAAATTACCCCCATGTGAATTATGTTGTGGGCACTTATGATCAACAAATCAGAAGATAACATGAGAAAATACAAAATGCGTGCAGGCATAAATTGTTTTATATACTCCAGCTTTGAGTAAATGTAACCAACCAAAACAACTGAGGCCTTGTGAGAAATTTGTGTGACTACAAATGTTACAGAGAGAACGACAGTCTACAGTCAAGCTTCCCTTTAGACTTTACAGACTATAAATACAGTAGACTTATTTCTAATCCTGCGCCTGCCTAATTGTGTCACCATATGCATAGATTTCAAGGCACATCAGGGGACACATAGCCTTTATCTTTAGAAAACATGCCAGATAACTGAGGTGTACATGATCTAAAGCAATCATTGCAAAAAAAAGGTGTTTAAGTGTAAACTTTACAGCATGTTCCACGAACGCCAGGATATCCAGGTATCCCAGGAAATCCTCGGTCCCCTGCAGAATAGATAAACAGGTAGTGAGCCAGCTAAAGGTGCTTGTGGCTTCAAAATCAAATATATTTGTCTGTCCAAATAAAAAATAAATGACCTAAATTTAGTTCGAAATTACATCCTTTAAAATACTGCTGGAATGAAGTAATAACATCGGTTATTTTGACCTTTAATCCCCGGTGATCCAGGAACACCATCTCGTCCAGGTGGTCCTATCATCCCAGCAAACCCAGGATATCCGGGATCTCCTTTTTCACCTTTTGACCTGGAGGACCAGGAGGCTGACTGAAGCTGACAGTGGCCATCAAGCAGATGACGGAGAATAAAAGAAGCAGTCTCATCTTCGTAGTTCAGAACTGAAATTTTGGTTAAATATAGTATTAAGTTTTCCATATAAAAGCCATGTAGCCCTAACCCTCAAATGGAAGAATGATAAATTTTCCAATTATAGACATTCTTTATGCAGAAATTGCTAAATTTAATTAATTTTTTCTAGCTAGTGTGTTGTACTTCTTTATCTTTGTTGTTTTAAAGTGTTTTCAAGAGTTAAAACCATTTGGTAGCACAAAATTTAGTACAATACAGAGATAAACAGGAGAGAACTCACCCCACCAACGAGAAGTGATGTGCTGGGCATACTGCTTCTTTGCTGCTTCCACAGAAAAAGAACTGAGATATTTGCTAGAAGTAATGTGGGAGGGATTCAGTCCACAGTAAGCAGCTGGAACATCTCATTAGGGATTGTCCATTAACCTCCCTCCTTTCAAACCAAAAAAAGGCCACTGTGTTGTGATACCTTAAAGACTCTATGAATCTAAACATGAGAATACGGATTTGACGTAGTTATGGGTGAATGCAGAAATGATAACGTTTGACTTTATGAGGCACAAACAGTTTCTGCCACTTAACATAAAAGGCAACTCCCTGTACAAAACTCAATTTCAAAAAGAATTGTGCACATTTTGACCACACAATCATCACTATAAGATTAAAACATGAGTGCATTATTGTTTTAAAGCTCTCTTAAAATTGACAGACTTAAAAAGACGAAGTTCAACATTTAAGATTAATAAATCAGTTGACGCTGAATTGTTTGAAACACATATTTAAAGGAAATTTAACAGTAGTTTAATGTTTAAAATAGTACACTGAGATGTTGCAGAGGTTGTGTGCAATGTAAATATTTCATTACGTTCACTTCTTAGTGAAAAACTACATCCATCCATCCATTCGCTTCCGCTTATCCTTTTCAGGGTCGCGGGGGCGCTGGAGCCCATCCCAGCTGTCATAGGGCGAGAGGCAGGGTACACCCTGGACAGGTCGCCAGTCTGTTGCAGGGCTGAAAAACTACAAACACTGTGAATCAGACTTTTGCAGAATCACCTTTAGCAGCAATAATTTGAACAAAGCATCCTCTGTATGATTTCATCAGGCTCTCTCATAATTGTAGAGGAATTTTGGTACATTTGATTAGCAGCATATGGCTGCTACTTGTCCTCTCAACTCCCATGGAAGCATTAGGGATGTGCTTAAAAGACTCTAGGGAAGAAGTCAAAATACAAATAAGCATTGCTATGTTGGGTGGACCTCCTTTTTGCTCATTCCACAGAAAAATCGCTGAGATATTAGACAGACCTCCATATAAACAACAGCTGCATACTCTCATATGGGAACTGGGAGTTGGATTAGTGTGTGTGTGTGTGGGGGGGTGGGGGGGATTTTTAACAACAAATATAACAGCACATACCTTTATTTATATAAAGATTTCACAACCTCTTTTTTGATCTCTGATATTATGAAGTTATGATGACACCTCAATTTTATTCCTAAGTATGTTAATATTTCTTTCCAGTTTTTCAGCCACAAGTACAGTATTGCGTTCGCAAAAAGCAAACACCAATCAGCTGAAAAGGCTTTTATGTAGAAATGCACAATATGTGATGTTTTTATAGGAAAACACTACATAAGTGTTCAAAGCACCCTTTGGAAAAAATTAAACAATATCTTCAAATGGCATTGTCTGGGACTGCATTATAACCATGTGAATAATACTTTAATACCTACTTTCACTAGTTCATGATTAGAATGCCACACTTACAAAATTTGTTTCTATTGCAGTTCAATGTTTAATTCTTTATACATTTATTATTATATTTATAGAATTATGAAGATGGAGACAGAAAAAGGCTTTTGTCTAACATAAAGACACTGACATATAGCAGAAAGCACAATAGTGATGCAAAAGCATTTATTTGAAACCATGAAGAGTTAGCTTAAATGATTTATTGACAATACATCAGTCAAGCATCAGAATAACTGACTTAAACTTAGGTCTGTGAGATAATAGTTATTCCTATTACAATGCATTCATGAATTCATTGCCATTGGGAGTTTCACTTCAGTTGGTCAACTGAGAATCGTTGGTCTCATTTTTAATACTACAAAGTTTTCTTTCTTCTACAAAATGCAGCCCCGATGCTTTACCCATAATTCATAAACAACTGCAAGCTTAGATTTTTTCTTCCATTGGGGTAAATGAGAACATTTCTCTACATGTAATATAAGAAATAAAAATGCAATAAAAATGTTGAGATAAACATGATAGTGGGGGGAAATTGCCAAAAGCAAGATTCGCAAGGAACCGGGATTTTTCTATAACTGACAAATGATGTAAGCGTTCATGGAACATTCTGGTGTAACTTGCCAGATGCCGTTTTCTGACAGCATGGTGCAGCCTGTATCTTGGATGGATTTGTCTGGCTGACCTTCTCCCCACTTGGTAAATGTCAGACGTTGGTTTTTCATATCCACCTCAAAATTTCCCTCTGCCTTTTTGTTGTTGACACTGATCCAAGCTGCCTTGTAAACATCGCCAAACACTTGAGTCAGTGCGTTGTTCTCCTCCTCGTTCTGGGGCAAAGCCAACTCTATGTGTTGTTGGGAGCAGAATTCGACAGCCCTGGAGAAAGAGCCTCTCTCCTTGTTGGACACAAAGTATTTCTGACCAACTCTCCGGACAAAATGATAGTTAATGGCTAGAGAACAGAAAAATGTAATAAAGCAAACTGTTACTCTTAGGCTTTTTATTTAAAATCAATCTAATGTTGTAGAGACATGGAAAACTGTCACACAGAAATATGATGATGAATATGATGACTTATCAATCATGTCTGAAAATTAGACTTAAAGTTGCATTTTTTAGATGTCCTGTGTATTTGACAAAAACAGTTCTTTGTAACTGAGTTGTGTTTGAATTTGAATTAAAAACACATGATTGTGACACTTACCGAGCTCTAGCTTGGCAAGTCTGTCCTTCAAAGCTCTGAGGTCTGGGCAGCTCGTCTCAGTAGCAGCTGGATCAAACAGATCAAGTTAGTGAACTTTACACAGAGGCCACACTTACAGCTCTGCTGTACCTACAAATGGCCATTTAAAGTTTCTTCGTTTTATGCCTCACTTTTAACCACTGACAGATTTTCTTTTCCAAACTTTTATTTATTTATGACATGGAAGGAATTGTTGTTGTTTTTCTGATTTCTGAAATGATTAGATAATCACTCTGTTAAGCTTACGGGCTCTTTAAACTGTTTCAGGATGTTTTGTTCAGTCATGAGAGAAATATGGAAAAAACAAGTGGTTACCATTTGTAAACTGTTTTTCTAGCTCATCCATCATCGTTGACATGCTGCTAACCAGCATGTAAATTTAGACAGTGATCAAATTACCCCCATGTGAATTATGTTGTGGGCACTTATGATCAACAAATCAGAAGATAACATGAGAAAATACAAAATGCGTGCAGGCATAAATTGTTTTATATACTCCAGCTTTGAGTAAATGTAACCAACCAAAACAACTGAGGCCTTGTGAGAAATTTGTGTGACTACAAATGTTACAGAGAGAACGACAGTCTACAGTCAAGCTTCCCTTTAGACTTTACAGACTATAAATACAGTAGACTTATTTCTAATCCTGCGCCTGCCTAATTGTGTCACCATATGCATAGATTTCAAGGCACATCAGGGGACACATAGCCTTTATCTTTAGAAAACATGCCAGATAACTGAGGTGTACATGATCTAAAGCAATCATTGCAAAAAAAAGGTGTTTAAGTGTAAACTTTACAGCATGTTCCACGAACGCCAGGATATCCAGGTATCCCAGGAAATCCTCGGTCCCCTGCAGAATAGATAAACAGGTAGTGAGCCAGCTAAAGGTGCTTGTGGCTTCAAAATCAAATATATTTGTCTGTCCAAATAAAAAATAAATGACCTAAATTTAGTTCGAAATTACATCCTTTAAAATACTGCTGGAATGAAGTAATAACATCGGTTATTTTGACCTTTAATCCCCGGTGATCCAGGAACACCATCTCGTCCAGGTGGTCCTATCATCCCAGCAAACCCAGGATATCCGGGATCTCCTTTTTCACCTTTTTGACCTGGAGGACCAGGAGGCTGACTGAAGCTGACAGTGGCCATCAAGCAGATGACGGAGAATAAAAGAAGCAGTCTCATCTTCGTAGTTCAGAACTGAAATTTTGGTTAAATATAGTATTAAGTTTTCCATATAAAAGCCATGTAGCCCTAACCCTCAAATGGAAGAATGATAAATTTTCCAATTATAGACATTCTTTATGCAGAAATTGCTAAATTTAATTAATTTTTTCTAGCTAGTGTGTTGTACTTCTTTATCTTTGTTGTTTTAAAGTGTTTTCAAGAGTTAAAACCATTTGGTAGCACAAAATTTAGTACAATACAGAGATAAACAGGAGAGAACTCACCCCACCAACGAGAAGTGATGTGCTGGGCATACTGCTTCTTTGCTGCTTCCACAGAAAAAGAACTGAGATATTTGCTAGAAGTAATGTGGGAGGGATTCAGTCCACAGTAAGCAGCTGGAACATCTCATTAGGGATTGTCCATTAACCTCCCTCCTTTCAAACCAAAAAAAGGCCACTGTGTTGTGATACCTTAAAGACTCTATGAATCTAAACATGAGAATACGGATTTGACGTAGTTATGGGTGAATGCAGAAATGATAACGTTTGACTTTATGAGGCACAAACAGTTTCTGCCACTTAACATAAAAGGCAACTCCCTGTACAAAACTCAATTTCAAAAAGAATTGTGCACATTTTGACCACACAATCATCACTATAAGATTAAAACATGAGTGCATTATTGTTTTAAAGCTCTCTTAAAATTGACAGACTTAAAAAGACGAAGTTCAACATTTAAGATTAATAAATCAGTTGACGCTGAATTGTTTGAAACACATATTTAAAGGAAATTTAACAGTAGTTTAATGTTTAAAATAGTACACTGAGATGTTGCAGAGGTTGTGTGCAATGTAAATATTTCATTACGTTCACTTCTTAGTGAAAAACTACATCCATCCATCCATTCGCTTCCGCTTATCCTTTTCAGGGTCGCGGGGGGCGCTGGAGCCCATCCCAGCTGTCATAGGGCGAGAGGCAGGGTACACCCTGGACAGGTCGCCAGTCTGTTGCAGGGCTGAAAAACTACAAACACTGTGAATCAGACTTTTGCAGAATCACCTTTAGCAGCAATAATTTGAACAAAGCATCCTCTGTATGATTTCATCAGGCTCTCTCATAATTGTAGAGGAATTTTGGTACATTTGATTAGCAGCATATGGCTGCTACTTGTCCTCTCAACTCCCATGGAAGCATTAGGGATGTGCTTAAAAGACTCTAGGGAAGAAGTCAAAATACAAATAAGCATTGCTATGTTGGGTGGACCTCCTTTTTGCTCATTCCACAGAAAAATCGCTGAGATATTAGACAGACCTCCATATAAACAACAGCTGCATACTCTCATATGGGAACTGGGAGTTGGATTAGTGTGTGTGTGTGTGTGTGTGTGTGGGGGGGGGGGTGGGGGGATTTTTAACAACAAATATAACAGCACATACCTTTATTTATATAAAGATTTCACAACCTCTTTTTTGATCTCTGATATTATGAAGTTATGATGACACCTCAATTTTATTCCTAAGTATGTTAATATTTCTTTCCAGTTTTTCAGCCACAAGTACAGTATTGCGTTCGCAAAAAGCAAACACCAATCAGCTGAAAAGGCTTTTATGTAGAAATGCACAATATGTGATGTTTTTATAGGAAAACACTACATAAGTGTTCAAAGCACCCTTTGGAAAAAATTAAACAATATCTTCAAATGGCATTGTCTGGGACTGCATTATAACCATGTGAATAATACTTTAATACCTACTTTCACTAGTTCATGATTAGAATGCCACACTTACAAAATTTGTTTCTATTGCAGTTCAATGTTTAATTCTTTATACATTTATTATTATATTTATAGAATTATGAAGATGGAGACAGAAAAAGGCTTTTGTCTAACATAAAGACACTGACATATAGCAGAAAGCACAATAGTGATGCAAAAGCATTTATTTGAAACCATGAAGAGTTAGCTTAAATGATTTATTGACAATACATCAGTCAAGCATCAGAATAACTGACTTAAACTTAGGTCTGTGAGATAATAGTTATTCCTATTACAATGCATTCATGAATTCATTGCCATTGGGAGTTTCACTTCAGTTGGTCAACTGAGAATCGTTGGTCTCATTTTTAATACTACAAAGTTTTCTTTCTTCTACAAAATGCAGCCCCGATGCTTTACCCATAATTCATAAACAACTGCAAGCTTAGATTTTTTCTTCCATTGGGGTAAATGAGAACATTTCTCTACATGTAATATAAGAAATAAAAATGCAATAAAAATGTTGAGATAAACATGATAGTGGGGGGAAATTGCCAAAAGCAAGATTCGCAAGGAACCGGGATTTTTCTATAACTGACAAATGATGTAAGCGTTCATGGAACATTCTGGTGTAACTTGCCAGATGCCGTTTTCTGACAGCATGGTGCAGCCTGTATCTTGGATGGATTTGTCTGGCTGACCTTCTCCCCACTTGGTAAATGTCAGACGTTGGTTTTTCATATCCACCTCAAAATTTCCCTCTGCCTTTTTGTTGTTGACACTGATCCAAGCTGCCTTGTAAACATCGCCAAACACTTGAGTCAGTGCGTTGTTCTCCTCCTCGTTCTGGGGCAGAGCCAACTCTATGTGTTGTTGGGAGCAGAATTCGACAGCCCTGGAGAAAGAGCCTCTCTCCTTGTTGGACACAAAGTATTTCTGACCAACTCTCCGGACAAAATGATAGTTAATGGCTAGAGAACAGAAAAATGTCAGGGAACAAACTGTGACTCATAAATCATTATCAACAAAGGTAAATAAGCAATTAGGAAACAATGAAAAAAGCTTCATCTACATGGTGCATTTGTCATAGTTAGATACAAGAAAGGCAAGTAAAATCAAATTTTAAAAACACAGAGCTTGTAGGAACAAGATCACACACCATACCCAAAATCTCTGGAGGCTTCTAAATGAATATGCCAATTCATCAGTCATCTTCAAATGTTTTTAGCTTTGATGTTCTGATCAGCTGTTTTTTATTGCTGCTAACTGTTAATCAACTAACTTTTTTAATGTTGATCAAGTTGTAACATCAGGCAAAAACACTGGATTTATTGTAAATTGCAACAACAAATTATTAACGGATGGTCTTTGAAAGAGTTTTAAATAAACATAATTAATAATGCCTTGATGATGATACTTACCCAGTTCTAACTCAGCAAGTCTGCTTTTTAAGGTTTCAACATCTGGGCAACTGGATTCAACTGTAGCTGAAATTAAATTGTGAGCGTACAACAGGAATGAAAGGAGCTGTGTGGTCTATTTTTCTTTTAAATTACAGAGCATCAACTAATTCACTGTGCAATCTGTCATCAAACTGATCTTGTGCTGTCTGACACAGATTGGACTAATATCAGTATGCTACATGGGATCTTCTCATCTTATTGTATCTTATCTTTACCTTCAGTGCACACTGTTTCTCCAGGGTGCCCAGGAAGCCCATATATTCCTACATCCCCTGAAAGCAAAGAAACAGACATAAAGCCTTCTAAAGTCAAAGTACATATATATGTGTCAAAATCAAACGATGATAAGAAGTTATATTCTTTACAACATTCTTGTGGTGAACTCATAATATTTTTGACTTTTTTCACCAGGATGTCCACGCAGTCCAGGCAGTCCAGGAATTCCAGTTCGCCCACGTAGTCCAGGCACTCCTTGTGTCCCAGAAACTCCTGGATCTCCTTTCTCACCTTTAAGACCAGGAGGACCTGGAAACTGAGTGTAGGTGATGCGGGCCGACAGGCACAAGATGCACAAAAAAAGAAGTGGGCTCATCTTCTCAGTGAAGAACTGAAATGATAATTAAAAATATATGTAATGTACGTTTTTCCCAGATTTACCTTGGTTTAACTGATTCAATGTGTAACAAAAATGAAATCTGATCTTTCAAAACAGAGATTGTATTAAATATTGTGATTGTAGCTCCGAGGGATTTTCTAGGTATATGTTTAGAATGTCAAGCAATACTTCAAACAATATGTAACTCGCATGATAACATTAAATTTAGTAGAATAAAGCAGTAAGCAGGAAAGTACTTACAATATAAATGAAGAGCAGTCTGTTGGGTGTACTGCCTCACTGCTAATGTCCCAACAAAATAACTGAGATATTAGGTAGAACTAATGTAAGATGGATCGTTATCTCCAAAGTAAACAACAGCTACAAAATCCCATTTGGGATAGAAAAAAATGTCAGAATGTAGAATCCTCCCTCTTGTGCTGAAGCACAACCTACTTTCCAGATTGATATTTTTTCAGCACTCTTTATTTCCCCACCACAAATAAAGCATGGTTTAAGACAAAAAACAGTCTTTCTTCAGGTATTTGTGCACAGACGAACTTCAGTGTGAAACAAAGTATGGTGACACAGAGCATAGTTTTCATGCAATAGAAATACCACACTCACAAAATGTATGTTTCTGAAAAGTATAAATACTTGGCTTGGGTCTGTTTTGAACATTTAAAACTTCAAACATGTTGAACTTAGTGTAGCAAAGACATTGACAGAGACATATGGGGCCAAGTTGATGATAAAGATTACTAAATGAGCTTCAGATTTCCAGTTTTGGAAACAATGCAACAGTCGTCAACTTGTTGCGAACAATTAACTTAACTCGTTGTTAAGACAAATAGGATTGTTGTGTTTTAATTGCTCATTTGTTTCATAATTTCTTTATCAGTGCATGAAAAATGTCTACGATAATATGTTTCTAAAGTGAATTGCATCTCCAAGGTGGTCCCTGAGAATTGTTGCACAGACAGCAAATCCAAATCCATGTATAGTAATTATGCACAGGGAGACATTATGAATCCAGATAAACAGTAAAATCTTTACTTGTGTCAAAATTTGTGACAGGCACAAGAGGCAGAAAAAAGCAGCTCTTAATGCATCCATTTAACTGTTAGTAATAATTATTGCTTTATTGAAGTTTTGAAAATATCTTTGGTTAAGTAACTGTTTTTGAGACCCCGTTAGAGTCAAAATTTTGTTGCTTCTGGAGTCCAAAAGTCTTCTACTTATAGCCTTTTTTTGTGTGTCCAGACTATTCTTTGACATTCTTTAAAATTACACTTTTGTCTCATTGCATGTTTGCAACACCTTTTAAATTACTGCTAACTTATGGTCACAGCTGGCTATTCTCTTGGGAAGCAGGGTTGCTTCCGATTCCATTGGAATCTTTTAATAATGACTTGAGTACGGAATTATATATTGGTTAAAAGTGGCATATGAGAGAAAACATCATCACTAAAATTTAATTTCACTGGCACAGGCATTCATTCCCACTTGCACAATTAAATTCTTTGAAAGTGTCCAACAGCGCTCCAGCTGATTCATGCTGTCACAGTTAGTTCTGATCTCAAAGCTGAATTCTGCTCGCTAAAATCAATCTGATCTGACTACTTGCTAAACAGACCTGTTGAGTCAGGATAAAAATGGCAAAAGGGTGATTTACACAAGCACTCCTATGTGTGTCCGTGCTCTCTGCGGTAGAGTATCACTTCCTAGGGATGGGCAAATTAAGCTTTCTGAAGCATTGAAGTACTGCAAAACGGTTCATTACTCAAAGCTTTTCAACACAGTTATCTTTGGTGACATCTGGTGGCCAAAAGAGCAGCTTGAATCTACAATTTATAATGAACAGCTTTATTATGATTGACCACTTTACAGCTGAACTGACAGCTTCTGTTTGATCATGTGATAGTTCTGTCTGATAACGGGATGATATGGTGCTTCGGACATGAATTTTATTTTTTTTTAATGTTATGTCTATTTTAATAATAAATGTGTATTTAAATCCTCTGTTTACCTCCGTCCGTTCTTGTGATCGCCCTCATTCCCCACCATGTGTTCCACACACTTGCTTAGGTCACACATTTCTCAGTTTGGTTTTTGTATTGTTTAGTTTAGTTCAGCTGCCTTTTTTGACTTCCTTTTCACCCAAATGAGTCTCCATTTGGGTCTATCCCTGCCTGCTTCACACGGCTATTCACAAGAGTATTTGGTTCCAAATATGTTAGGGTTTAGAATTTCAACTTCAGACATTGTACCTCACAGAATCTTTGACATTATTATGTGACTAAATGTCAATCTGTGAACAACTATTAACATCATCTCCAAGATCCAACTTTAGGAGACATTTTTTCTATCAGTGTGACAAATTACAACAGGACAAATGGGTGATTATTGATTAGTGTGCTGAAAAGTCTGACTGACTGACAGTCTGACAACTTAATTTCCAGTTAGAAAAATGGAGGCTATAGATTTTATTCTGAGTGGATTATAAATCTCCATTGTAATCACTGTCTCCATCTTTATATATTGATGACTGAATGATTAAGTGTTTGTGTTAAAAACAAAAAATAACGAACTAATGGGATGTCAGTATTTGTAAAACTATAAACATCTACTAATTAGTTTTCTGCAGCTTGTGTTTTAAAGAGCAAGGTGCAGATATGATGCAGAAGTGTTTTCCACTTTATGAAAGAGGAAATTAATTGGTGTCTCACAGTTAGCTTCCCTGCAATAACAATAATAATAATATCTCTGCTATAACTGACAAATGCACTCAAGGAGGCATTTCAGTGTAACTTGCCAGGTGCTATTTTCTGACAGCATGGTGCAGCCTGTATCTCCCCATTTGGCAAAGGTCAGAGGTTGGTTTTTCATGTTAACCTCAAAATTCCCTTCTGTAATGTTATTTCTGACATTGATTTAAGCTGCTGTGCAAACATCCCCCACACCCTTTGGTCAATGCGCTGTTCTCCTGCTCACTCTGGGACACAGCCAGCTCAAGTGTTGATGCATGCAGAGTTCTTATTTCTGGACTACAAGGCGAAGGAAACTCTATCCTTGCAAGAGTATTTCTGACCAACTCTTTGGACAAACTTGTAGCTTGTAGCTGAAGAAAAAAGAAATCAAACAATGAACCAAATTTAAGAACAATTTATTAAGCAAATTTATCATTTCTGTGCATTTGTCATTTTTTAGACTCACACACACGAACAGACACTTTTTTGTTTCTCAAGTTGATCCAGGCCTTTTTGTAAATATATCCAAAAACTTGATTTAGTATGGTGTTCTCTTCCTCATTCTTGTGCAAAGTCAGCTCTGTGACATGTTTGTAAAAACTGCTTTATTTAATCTTTTTCATCCCTAACAGTGGACAAAACATATTGTGCGGAAGAAAAGTCACATGGCGCCTGAAATTACCCTTTTATGTGACCAAGGGAGCAGCCACATTCACTTATGTGAATGTGGCTACTTCATAGCTTAAATAGTGGTCTTGGTGACTTGCTCCCATATACCAAAAAACAAACTGTATATGTTCCTCTGAGTTCTGTGTAAAGTTTCTTGAGTCAAAAGTGAAAATAATATGGACCATTTCAAAGTGGTGGCATAAACATAGTAAAGTCAAAGGAAAAAAACAGCATGACACAAAAATATATACAGGGAGTGCAGAATTATTAGGCAAATGAATATTTTGTCCACATCATCCTCTTCATGCATGTTGTCTTACTCCAAGCTGTATAGGCTCGAAAGCCTACTACCAATTAATCATATTAGGTGATGTGCATCTCTGTAATGAGAAGGGGTGTGGTCTAATGACATCAACACCCTATATCAGGTGTGCATAATTATTAAGCAACTTCTTTTCCTTTGGCAAAATGGGTCAAAAGAAGGACTTGACAGGCTCAGAAAGGTCAAAAATAGTGAGATATCTTGCAGAGGGATGCAGCAGTCTCAAAACTGCAAAGCTTCTGAAGCGTGATCATCGAACAATCAAGCGTTTCATTCAAAATAGTCAACAGGGTTGCAAGAAGCGTGTGGAAAAACCAAGGCGCAAAATAACTGCCCATGAACTGAGAAAAGTCAAGCGTGCAGCTGCCAAGATGCCACTTGCCACCAGTTTGGCCATATTTCAGAGTTGCAACATCACTGGAGTGCCCAAAAGCACAAGGTGTGCAATACTCAGAGACATGGCCAAGGTAAGAAAGGCTGAAAGACGACCACCACTGAACAAGACACACAAGCTGAAACGTCAAGACTGGGCCAAGAAATATCTCAAGACTGGTTTTTCTAAGGTTTTATGGACTGATGAAATGAGAGTGAGTCTTGATGGGCCAGATGGATGGGCCCGTGGCTGGATTGGTAAAGGGCAGAGAGCTCCAGTCCGACTCAGACGCCAGCAAGGTGGAGGTGGAGTACTGGTTTGGGCTGGTATTCTCAAAGATGAGCTTGTGGGGCCTTTTCGGGTTGAGGATGGAGTCAAGCTCAACTCCCAGTCCTACTGCCAGTTTCTGGAAGACACCTTCTTCAAGCAGTGGTACAGGAAGAAGTCTGCATCCTTCAAGAAAAACATGATTTTCATGCAGGACAATGCTCCATCACACGCGTCCAAGTACTCCACAGTGTGGCTGGCAAGCAAGGGTATAAAAGAAGAAAAATTAATGACATGGCCTCCTTGTTCACCTGATCTGAACCCCACTGAGAACCTGTGGTCCATCATCAAATGTGAGATTTACAAGGAGGGAAAACAGTACACCTCTCTGAACAGTGTCTGGGAGGCTGTGGTTGCTGCTGCACGCAATGTTGATGGTGAACAGATCAAAACACTGACAGAATCCATGGATGGCAGGCTTTTGAGTGTCCTTGCAAAGAAAGGTGGCTATATTGGTCGCTGATTTGTTTTTGTTTTGTTTTTGAATGTCAGAAATGTATATTTGTGAATGTGGAGATGTTATTGGTTTCACTGGTAAAAATAAATAATTGAAATGGGTATATATTTGTTTTTTGTTAAGTTGCCTAAGAATTATGCACAGTAATAGTCACCTGCACACACAGATATCCCCCTAAAATAGCTAAAACTAAAAACAAACTGAAAACGACTTCCAAAAACATTCAGCTTTGATATTAATGAGTTTTTTGGGTTCATTGAGAACATGGTTGTTGTTCAATAATAACATTATTCCTCAAAAATACAACTTGCCTAATAATTCTGCACTCCCTGTAAAAGTTGCATTCTGTCATTGGGCATACCCATGGGTCCGAGTACATCTCCTAAAAAACGACCTTGCACTGTAATCCCTCCTCCACCAAATTTACACTTTGCACAATGCAGTCAGACAAATGCCATTGTCTTGGCATCTGCCAAACC